AGCCGGAGGGCTCCGTTCCCCCCTCCCCGCGTCTCCCCTCGGGGCTCGGAGGCCCCGGCAGCGGCACGAGGACCTGCGCGGCGCGGTTCCCCGGCGGGGCGGGCGCAGGGCGGAGGGAGCGGGGCCGGGAGCGGCGGGTGAGTCAGGCCCCAGGCGACATGGAGCCCGGCCCGCCGCCCACGGAGCGGCGGGAGCCGCCACAGCAGCCCCAAGAGGAGGAGGAAGAGATGGAGGAAGAGGAGGAGGAGGAGGACTGGCTTCGCCCGCAGCAGGGCGGCACGGCCGCCTCGCCCGCCCCGTGTGAGCAGCAATGGCGGCGCTGAGGGGAGCTGGGTGGCGGTGGGGCGGGGAGCGGAACAGGGCTACCCTAGCAGATAGAAAGAGATTATTTTCACATAAACGGGTTAAAAATAAGTTTCGGTGCCGCACCCTGAAAGAAAAATCTCTTTATTTGCTCCCCTGGCAGCCGGGCAGAGGAGCGCAGGGCGCAGGGTGATCGCACACCTCGACCTGGACTGTTTCTATGCGCAAGTGGAAATGATCCGCCAGCCCCAGCTGAGAGACAAGCCTTTAGGTACGAGCTCCTTTGCTGATAATTTGGGGATTAATGTGCATTCGGGCAGAAATTAGGGCCAGGAACGAGGTGAGGGGATGGCCGTGTGGTGGGCCATCCATGTGGCAGTGACCTGGAGATGAATAAATCCCAGTGAGCACAAGCGCAGGCGCTCGCCGACGTGTCCGAGCGGTTCTGGGGATCAAAACTGGTTCGTAAGCTTTATAAGAGGGGGCCGAGCCCCACGGCTGAGCCCCAGCCTTCTGACACATCACGCCTAAAACACGCTTCGTTCCCTCCAAAATCCGGGAACGTCGATGGCCAAGTGGAGGAAGCGCAGCGTGGAACGATGACTGTTACATAAAAAGCACTTTCGCGGGGAAGATTGCCAAAATTGAGAGCAGTGTTACAATGGAGGGGGGGGGGAAATATATCTGTAAGGTTTTAAAATGTTCTTACCATCCAGCAGCCTAAATTGAGATCTGCCTTTTTCATAGTCTTGTAAAATAAGACCGTCCTGGTGGTTTCTTTGCTCGCTCTATGACATTGCGTCCTGATCAAAGCAGTGGCCTGAAAATACCTGCAAAGTACCAAGAAACCTCCGCTTATAAAAAATACTAAACTTAATTTTTAGGTGTGCAACAGAAAAACATCGTGGTGACCTGTAACTACGAAGCCAGGAAGCGTGGAGTTAAGAAGCTGATGTCTGTGAAGGACGCTAAAGAGACATGTCCTCAGCTGATACTGGTTAACGGAGAAGATCTGACTCCGTACAGGGAGATGTCCTACAAGGTTACAGGTACAAAATTAACAATAGTTCAGTAGAGAATAAACACTTTTTGTTACACTCTGTGTGCACATGACATTTTCCTGCTGTAAAAGTTCTTACTAGAAGGAGCCTCGTACCATATATAGTCATATAATGTCAATATTTCATAAAATAAAGTATCAGACTTGGTTGCAATCTGGGTCAGGCACTATAAATTTATCACACTGATCTTGTATCACAGAACGATATGGGGTTGGAAGGGACCTCTGAAGATCATCCAGTCCAACCCCCTACCAAAGCAGGGCCACCCAGAGCAGGTTGCACAGGCACGTGTCCAGGTAGGGTTTGAATGTCTCCAGAGAAGGAGACTCCACCACCTCTCTGGGCAGCCTCTGCCAGGGCTCTGACACCCTCACAGGAAAGAAGTTCCTCCTCATGTTTAGATGGAACTTCAAGTTGGTGCCCATTTCCTCTTGTCCTGTCCCTGGGCACCACTGAAAAAAGCCTGGCCCCATCCTCCTGACACCCACCCTTGAAGTATTTATGGGCGTTGATCAGATCCCCCCAGTCTTTTCTTCTCCAGACTACAGAAAGTCTCCAGTATCTCTTAATTAAATGATATGCCAGCATTATCGTTGATTAATTCCTTTATCATTAGCAGTAATAACTTAAAAGTGAAAGCCCACCTAGCTGGGAAACGGATTTCCTTAGGAGAAAGTACTGCAGAGATTAAGAAGTGTAATTTCAAAAAGAAATGAGGAAAGAAAGGAGAGATTCGGGGAGAAGAAAAGCAGATGACGGTGGGATGAAGACAAAAAATTTATTGTTTTATCCAGAAGAGAACACGGTGTGTTAATTGTGTCCTAATTGCATCAGCAGAAATCAGCTGCAGAAATGAAAAGCTCAGAATATTAACGGTGTGCGTTTTATCCTTGGGTATCTTTTTCCTCCTAGAGTTGTTGGGGGAATTTTGTCCGCTGGTGGAAAGGCTTGGGTTTGATGAAAACTTTGTGGATATCACAGAGATGGTAGAGAAGAGACTAACCCAGCTGCTGCAGAGCGGATGGTCCAACCTCTGCGTGGCCGGCCACGTGTACAATGACCAAAGTGAGTTGAACGTTCTTTGGGTTGAAAAATGAGGTAAACATTTGGCATTTGGACGTGAGCAATAAAATCTTGGCTGCGAGGCAGCCCTGTGAAGGAAAGATTTGTAAATCTCTTACTTTGATCACAGTGGTATAAGAATTTAACTCTTGGAGATATCTTAAAATATCCTATTTTATGTTTAAAATACTCCCTATGCCCCCTGGACAGTTGGCTCCTGTTTTTGGACAGGAGCAGTCTCCCTTTTATCAGGGTTTTTGGGAAACTGGAATGAGGTTAAACCGGGACACGGAAGCCATGGCAATACCACTTTCTTTATTGCAACATGAAAAATACCTAAATCTAGAAAATCAGCTAACGAGGTGACCGTTTTCATACTGAACACACTTCCTTTTTCTTTGCAGCTCTAAATTTGCAGGACACAATGCATGTAAGGCTGGTTATCGGATCTCAGGTTGCCAAAGAGCTGAGGGAAGCAGTACACACGAGGCTGGGCCTCACGGGCTGCGCAGGAGTGGCCTCCAACAAATTACTGGCTAAACTGGTGTCTGGGACCTTTAAACCAAACCAGCAGACTGTTCTGCTGCCTGAAAGCTGCCAGGAGCTAATACGCGGCCTCGATCACATCCAAAAAGTGCCTGGTAAGTTGTGGTGCTACGATGGAGATGGGGGACATACTGACAAGTCGTAGGATTGTAAGAAAAAATATTGAAAAACTTACTGAAATGATTTTAAAATCTAGCTCTCGCAAGCAGGCAGCTTGTTTAGGTGCTTTTTTCTTTCACAAGCAGAGTTTTGTTCAGCAGAAGGAATGAAAGGACTTTGGTTTTCTTCATTTTTGGTTGTGACAGACCTTCAAAACTACTAAAAATCTGGTTGATAATAGGTTTTAAATACCAACTTTTTAAAACCTGCTGATCGGAAACCTACTGACAGTTCTTAAAACAGTCTATTGGAGGAGATAAAATACTCAGAGGAAGTATTTTTCCTAATTATTCTGTTGTGATGTTGGCCAGGAAGTGTTGATGAATACACAGGCAGAGCTTTGCTATGTCCCAGATGGCTTTTTTTAATGGCAGATTCTGAAATTCAAATGGAAACTCACCAAGAACGATGCTGAAAAGAGTAGTCATGAAAATAATTGTTGTGATGTTGGCCAGGAAGTGTTGATGAATACACAGGCAGAGCTTTGCTATGTCCCAGATGGCTTTTTTTAATGGCAGATTCTGAAATTCAAATGGAAACTCACCAAGAACGATGCTGAAAAGAGTAGTCATGAAAATAATTGTCACTGCTACACGGGTGGGCATTATTTATATGTTTGTATATACTGATTTTCTCTTCTCTGTGTATTTTTAATACACGTTTTATATAGGCATTGGCTACAAAACTGCCAAACGTCTCGAAATGCTGGGTGTTAGGAACGTGTGTGATCTCCAAGCGTTCCCTTCTGCTGTGTTAGAGAAGGAACTGGGGGTTTCTATGGCTCAGCGTATCCAAAAACTCAGCTACGGAGATGACGACTCCCCTGTGACTCCATCAGGCCCTCCTCAGGTACCAGAATTGCTCTGAAGTTCTTTATAAAAGGCAAAAAAAAAAAAAAAAATCGCTTTTAGTTTTATACAGCTTTGCTGGACTAAGCAAAATACTGTATTTTTGTATGTAGTTGAGTTAATTAAGCATTAACTCAAATTAACGTGTAATTCTCCTGAAATTCAGTTGAGCTCTGAGTGTCAAAGATACCTCAGAGTGAATTCTACACACTCAATTGTGATACTTCAAAATTCTGAAGAGGAAAAGAAAGTGAAGTATCAAATTGAAAGGACTAACGTGGGGTTTTTTCAGTCCTTTAGTGATGAAGATTCCTTTAAAAAATGTTCCTCAGAAGTGGAAGTTAAAGAGAAAATTGAAGAACTGCTCCGTAGCCTATTAGACAGGTGACTGTCTTCAGTACCTCTTTTTGATGACTGAGATTGTGACCTGAAGGGACTCGGAGCGCGTGTTAGGTTTGTCTCCTGCTCTACATTTCTTCTCTCAGTAAAATGCCAGGTTTTCTTTCTCTTCCCATAAGTGACAGACTCTTGGTGATGACCATTTGTCTCCTGTCCCACAGCTGAGCTTTCTCTCGGCCTGAAAGAAGGTTTTCATTTCTTCCTCCTCCCCTTGCCCTGGGAATGCAGGCAGTATCCCAACTCCAGGAGGATGTGTTTACTCGTGTCTTGACTCCTGTGACTTGCCCATCCTCCCTTTCTATCCTCCGACTCTCTTTATTGAAAACAAATGATTAAAAAGGAGCAATATTCCAGCAGCACTGGACTGTTTCCTGCTCTGCTGTGCTTCAGCTTTCCATTTTTGAAAAGCTTTCTGCGTCAGTCCTGAGTAGCCCTTGTGTCCCCCATTAGTTCTTGAGTTTTATTTTTATTTTCTCTAAATATTTTCATACTCTCTGCATGCCTCTCTCCAAGCCTTGAAGTAACCTACAGGTCTTCAAAGATTTTCTCTCCCCAGCAGATACATCCTTTTTAGTTCTATCAACACTATGTGCAGGGAGTTTATCTGCGTCGCAGACATTGCTCAGTGATCACAGAAATTAAATTATGTTTGTCCTATCTCGATTAAAACACGTAGAATTCAAAATTGTTATTTCTTGTAGGGAAAATATACCCTCCCAGTGCCTTTTGGAGGGGAAAAGACACAATTACAGACATTGTTTCTTATCCTTTTTCCAAAAGCCAGCTAACTTTTTCTGTTAAAGTGGGGATATTTCCTTGAAAGCAAAAAGAGCTAAAAAGCTGAGGATTTTACAGGGTTTAACTGCAAAGATGAGACTATTTTTGATGTATTAAATATTGAAATGTGGCAGTATTGCAGATCAACCCACTTAATTTCCACATTCACTTCAATTGAAGACTGTATTCACGTGGCATTGAATTTCTGATTTATGGGTAACGAAGGGAATTGGTGAGGACCCAAAATTCCCAGTATAATGAGTGGAATAAAGCCAGAAGTGGGGAGAGATCTTTAAATGCTTAATTAGACTTTGTAGTAGTTTGCATAGAGCCTCTGAAAAATACTGGTAGGAATAATTTTGTGCACATCAATGCTCCCCAGAATATACAAAGACGGAAGACAACCGCACACCATCAGGTTGACCATCCGCCAGTTCTCCTCCACCGATAAATGGTTTCACCGCGAAAGCCGGCAGTGTCCTGTTCCTCCTCATCTCATTCCCAAATTTGGAAAAGGTAAAACTTCAAATTTCTGAAAGTATCAACTTCGTGCTGCTAATTTCTCTGTAATATTTCATTACAATATTCCCTACATTTAATGGTTGGAAACTTTTCCGTTACTTGTAATTGATGCATCTTGCTGAGATGGGGGAAAGAAAAAACCCACCACAAAATAGAACTTCACTGTAGAAATAATTTCTATGTTACTTCCATGTTTTAACCCAGCCTGGCTGGATTCCTGGCAGGAAATTTCTCCAGGAGATGGGAAAGGGTGACCGGGGGCTGCTTTCCCAGATTAATAATCTGCTTCTCTCTGTTAGGAATTTGAATTATGTTCTCAGTTTTATTATGTAAGAAAATGTCTTTTTGATGGACTTCTGAAAATTAATAACGTAAAGGTTCTCATCCTTCTCAGACTTCAGCTTTTCCAACCAGCAATTGCAATTCATTTGACACTTCATTCAGATTGGGGTGAGGAAATAAATCTAAATCACTGCTTTATCAGCACAGAGAATCACTGCCTGACTCAGATTCCTGAATTATTTCTCACAGCCCTAGAGAAGCTACTCCAAGTCCCTGTAGCTTCTCACTTCAAAATTGCTACTGGAATTCTATGTTGGAGGAGACTCAATCACTCAGATTCACACAAACCCCAATAAACCACGTTAATACCAGTTTGGGGGTAATGTTCTATACCTACATGGGCCTGAAAAAGCCCTTTTTGCTAGAATTGGATCATTTTTAAAAACTATTCAGCTGGCCTTGTATTCTGGAATTCTTTTTTAACCTAAGTTATCTTCACAGGTATGAAATTAAGCATTTTTTTCTGGAGGGGAAGAAAAGGTCTGTTATTCTGCTCAGGATGTACCTGTCATGGCAAAATAAACATCTTAATGATTATATTGACCAATTATTTTGGAAGCCTTTAGCAGTACTTTGTACTTTGCTATTTAAATCCATCTTATTAAGTCATAATATAATATACATTGCTTTTTTTTCACCCACCTTTTTTTCTTTTAGAAAACAGCAACCTTATCTCCCCCTTGGTTGCTCTACTGATGAAACTCTTTCGAAAGATGATAGATGTAGACGTACCGTTTCATCTCACCCTTCTGAGCGTCTGCTTCTCCAACCTCAAAGATCTTCCCAGCAGCAAGAAAGGATCCATTGGCTTCTACCTAAAGCAGATGTCACCAGGCTCTGGGAAACGTGGCCGGGTAAGCTGAAAGATAGAAAACTATCTGGAGACAAGGAAGTTCCAAGATACTTCTGTCTTTATTATATTTATTTATTATATTTATTCCAACTGCTTTGGAATTTTTAGGATTGTAAGTTTTGTTCACCTGGTTAAAAGAAAAAAAAAAATATTTATTTGGAGTCTTCTAAGATGTTACTCGTTAGCTTTCTTTGATTAGATAAAGTGCTTTAAAGAGGTTTAATGCTCTCCTGAATGGGACAGGCAGTTAGGTTATCAGGCCCCTTAACTAAAGAGAACATTCACTCCAAGAGAAAGCCAAATTTATGTCTTCTAATAAAAAAAAAAACCCAAACTGCTGAATTTGGCTGTTCATTTCAGCAAGATCTGCCCTTCATTTAGCATTTGCGAAACAACAGGCCGCTTGGGCGTTATCATTCAAAGCATCTTTTAGCTTGGCCTAAAATCTCCTTAAAGTTGCCTACAATTTATCTTGTTGCTTTAAGGTACTTTCACAGTGGTTATCTACCTTCCTGTGCATTCTCAAGTCTCCTTGTCCAGATTAGGAATTAATCAAACGCTCAGTTCTGTATCGGCCACTTCTAATTCCTGCTCAGAATTGAATCCATCTCCTACCTTCCAGTTGCATACCCTGGACAACATCAGAGCTGTCTGTGGAAACACTGCTAAATATTCCCTCAAGATGCTTTCAGTACATAATAAAAAACCTCAGTAACTTCCCAATTAGGTTGAGTCATGATTTTGCTGTTTCTGTCTTGACATGGCAATTTTGCACGCTCATAAACTCCCCTGTTTCTCAGCTGCTCGGGAATATGATGGATAACGGGATGGATATCATGTATCCTAAAGCTCCAAAGTTTTAAAGCAATAAAATGTAAGGTCAAGGTATTTGCTACTTTAAAATAAGAGGAGGATTCCTGCTTGTATGTACTTTTTAAGGCCTGTGTTTGAAAATAAGATTTAAAAAACTGCTATGTATCAGAAGGAAAAAATACTACTGTTAGGGAGTAATTAGAAGAACTTGCTGTTAGTAAAATAAAGCTTAGTAATGAGATTACACAGAACATACTTACATTTTTCCATACATTTTTTGCCACAGGAAGCGGACGATGTCTCACAAGGTGAGGGAAGCGCTTCTTGGAACCAGAACCTCAATGAAACTGGAACAACAAAAACTAGGAAACTTTCAGAGGAAAAGCAAAGCAATATAAAGCAAGCGGGAACTCCTGACTTCCCATTTCATTTGTCTCCTGCTGACATTGACCCCGAAGTCTTCAGGGAACTTCCAGAAGATATTAAAAAAGAAATTCTTTCTGCAAAACCAGACACGATGCCTACTGAGGATGTTTCAGGTCAGGCATCGGAATGTTTTGCGGAAGAGGTGTTCGGCGCTTCTCCAGATTCTAAGGGACTAAGGGCCACGTGTTCTTCCCAGTGTCCCAGCAGTATGGAAAACCAACCTCCTGACTCCCGGAATTCCAGAGGGAGAGATCTGTCACCTCTGGAAGCTGGAGCCAGCCACACTGTTGCGCGTGTCCCCACCTTGGACAAAGATAAGCAAGCCCTTGAAACGACTTCTGCGGATAAAGCTCATAGCAGGAAAGCAGAAGTTGTGTTTCCTCCTAATATTGATGCAAAGACTTTTTACGAACTACCTGCTGATGTGCAAGAAGAATTACTGGCTGAATGGAAGAATTGGGAACCTCCATCCAAGACTTCGACGGATAAACCCCCTGAAAAGCCTAAACCAACTAGAGGAAGAAGGAACACAGCTCCGTGTCCATCACAGTCTAACAGTTTGCTAAGATATTTTAAACCACAGTGAAGCGTTTTTCGTAGCACGGACGCTAAGAATCAGCACTTGAGGGCACTTTAGTTATTAAAAATTTACTGTACCTTGTAAAAATGTGAATACTAAAGGTGTATTTTGACAACTTTGGACGTAAAACCTGCTAGTGACTCGTCTGTCTTATTTTTTCTTCTACAAATTGATATTTACTTGATGAATTTTTAGTTGTTCTAAAAACATTATAGTATGGAAGTATATTTTAATATTATTAATACATTAACACTCTGAGGAGAAGGAATTTTTACTTTAATTTTCCTTGAGTTACACTAATTGTTTCTAACAGCTCAGGAAGGGGCTGCTATAGTATGGAAGTATATTCTAATATTATTAATACATTAACACTATAAGAATGAATTTTTACTTTAATTTTCCTTGAGTTATACTACGTATGTAATTAATTGTTTCTAACAGCTCAGGAAGGGGCTGAGCAGAGAAGATGAAAGCAATTTTCACGCTGTTCTTTTACTTTTCACCACTCCTTGTGATTCGTAATGGAAAATGGTATTCACAGGGCTGTCACTATTTCCTGCAGTTGACTCCTAACCAGAGGTACCAGAAACACCAAGGGCTAACGGGAAACATTATTTCCAAATGAATCATATCACCAGCTCATTCCTGGAAATTAGTCAGCACATCAAAATTGTTTAGGTTTGGTGCTCAGCATTCAGAAAAACGACCAACAACTCTGTGTACAAAGAGCAGCTTTTAATGAGACGCTAGATACAAATTAATCAGGGTTTTCTTCAAATACTTCATTCCAAGACACTGAAAGAGTTGTTAATTACACTTGCACACTTCTAGAGTTAATAAACGTTTAAAATCTCTAGTACACAAGATGTTTGCTTCTTCCAGTCAAGAGTACAATAATTGAGGTAAGAATTTATCAAAGTTCGTTTAAAGCTATGGCAAAAAATATGGGACTACTGTGTTTTAACAATGCTATAAGTTGTATCACCAGATTCTCATGTGTGTATATAGATATATATATATATTTACTCTGCATATAAAGTGCAAAAATATTACAAAACATCACCTGATTACATTGAAAGCGACATCCTGTACTTCGACGGCGCTTCAGTGTAAATCCTCCCATCGTTCCAAAGAACAGAGAAAACCAGCATTTTAACAGTTAGGTTAAGCTTGATACATTTCCACATAAACCACAATTAAAATAAAACTTTGTCATGTGGTTAAAAAAAACTGAATCCAAAGATGCATGACTTAAGTGCTTATTATTTTCCACTTACGTCTAGTTAAAAAAACTGAATCCAAGTCAAAGATGCGCGACTTAAGTGCTTATTATTTTCCACTTACGGTTAATTACGGTCTTTCAAGCCTTTCAGTCCGGCTCTGGTATCAGTAATTAAGTTGATGAGAGTAGCAGGTAACGCCGTCTCCACTAGGGAACCTGGAAGCATTCCTCCTAATTCTGGCTGAATAAACACAACCAGCTTGGAATGTTCTGGATTCCTGCGAGGAAAGGAGCAAAATTCTTCAATTAACACTTTTTGCTGTGAATCTTCTTGAGATGTACAAATGTTTATATATAGTCCGTTGAAATTAATAATATTAACTGGAGGATGTATAGTCTGAGTCACAAAACTCTAAAGTTTCCCCAAAATAAAACTAAATAAAATAAAAAGTTGGGTGGTTGACGAAATGTTAAGCTTTGTATAGAGAAGGCAACTGAGTAATCAAAGATGCTAATGAAGGGGGATTTAAATACCTACTCAGGCAAAGGGGAGCAGACGTATCCGCAGGGATTGTTGTAGCCGCGGACACAAGAGGGAGTTGGAGGGCAGCTGGAGTACTCCACGCTGACAGCTGTAAATCATCACACAGCAACAACAACATCAAAATTAATTACCTACCTCAATCACATGCCACAAAACCACCTTTTTAAAAAACCCCAAGAAACCCCTTCAGCTGCTACGGGGTAGTACAAGATGTCACAATACGATCACTGGTGTGTTTAGTGATTTCCTTCTCTAAATAAAACACCAAAAGTACATTCAATATTTGTGCAAGTAATTAAACACAAGTGAAAATATCTATCGACGCTAGGGCAGGCATTCCCAAAAGTGTTCTCCTTGAGACGTGACTACACACATACCTACCACACCTGAGGTGGGGCTCAGGGCTGGACAAATAAGTCAGTTTGTCAGCAGATGTCATCAATTAGCAAACGCAATCGCAGAGATGATGAGGAAATTACTGCACACATGCACAAGAGTTGTTGGGAGGGGTTTGTTTTTGTTTGAGTTTTCAATACTTTGCTATGCAAAAGTAATGGATAAAAACTAACAGGTCAGTAAAGTTCCAAGATTAAAAAAAGTTGTTTTCTGCCACGTACTAAGATCCGCACTAAAAAAAAATGTTGTTTTCTGCCACGTACTAAGATCCGCACAAAGGAAAAAGATGGGCACAGAAAAGAAACAGCAATGAGATTTTTTCCTGGTGGGCCATGGAGTTGCAATATTCATCATTTGGGCCATGGAGTTGCAATATTCATCATTTTACATTTTTTATAAGTTTACAGAGCCCAACTCGGGGAAAATTGAATATAAGGCAAATCAGAATAGCCTATTAGGCACATAGCATTAGGTCAAGAAGGCAGCTAAATACAGAAAAGTGTTAGTATACAATCCCAGAATGATATGGGGTTGGAAGGGACCTCTGGAGATCGCCTCCTCCAACCCCCTGCCAAAGCAGGTCCACCCACAGCAGGTTGCACAGGAACATGTCCAGGCAGAGTTTGAATGTCTCCAGAGAAGGAGACTCCACCACCTCCCTGGGCAGCCTCTGCCAGGGCTCTGCCACCCTCAAAGTGAAGAAGTTCCTCCTCGTGTTGAGATGGAACTTCCCATGTTCAAGTTTGTGCCCATTCCCTCTTGTCCTGTCCCTGGGCACCACTGAAAAAAGACCGGCCCCATCCTCCTGACACCCACCTTTGAACTATTTAAGGCCCTGATCAGATCCTCCCTCAGTCTTCTCTTCTCCAGACTCAAAAGACCCAAGTCCCTCAGCCTTTCTTCAGCAGAGAGATGTTCTTGGCCCCTCAGCATCTTCGTAGCCCTCTGCTGTCCCCTCTCCAGCAGTTCCCTCTCCTTCTGGAACTGGGGAGCCCAGAACTGGACCCAGTGCTCCAGCTGGGGCCTCCCCAGGGCAGAGCAGAGGGGCAGGATGACCTCCCTCCACCTGCTGGTCCCACTCTTCCTGATGCCCCCCAGGATGCCATTGGCCTTCTTGGCCACAAGGGCACACTGCTGGCTCATGGGCATCCTGTTGTCCACTATTAAATAAGCACAGAACAGGAGAACAAACAAAGAACATGGCATTTTCTTTGAAGATCTCCACTATTAAATAAGCACAGAACAGCAGAATAAACAAAGAACATGGCATTTTCTTTGAAGATCAATTTTGATAGTCTGAGGATCACAAAAAAGCAACTTTGGGGGATAAAGAGGAGGGGACTGTTAGTGTATGTAAGACTGAGGTGCTCTCTAGTGTGATCAGGCTGCAGAACTTCACAGCCATTCCCCTCAGGATCTCCAGGAGGCAGCCAAAATATCCAAGTGTGCAGTGGTTCCGTGTAACTTACAGTTAGTTGTGAGGATATCGCCAGGGTAGGGCTTAACGTGCAGCAGGTCAACGAAATCTCGGGATGAAATCAGCCCCATGCCATAACTGTGCGTTACGCTGTGGTATATACCCGTGTCCTACGAGTAAGTGAAAGTCATTTTTTGCAATTAGTATGTAAGCAGTTATTTTTATTTAATCAGCAAAGCAGCATGACGTGTTGAGTAATGAGAATGCGACCAAAAGGGATTCATTCCTATTTGTTAGCAAAAGATAACAGCTTCTATATCTATATCTATATCGTTAGTGCTGAACTAAGAGGGCAGGGATTCACTGGGATTCCTTGCGGCCTTAATTAGAAGCAGGAGTGTAATTTCTCCATAGAAAAACTCAATATTCCAGGTTTAGTGGAGCTAGAACACCTATTTGCGTTAAAATACACACACTGGGTTGCACACTGCATTCTAGGATGTATAATCTCTTAAACTCACTCAGTTCCAAAAAAAAAGGCAGGATGTACCACTCCATCCCAACATCTGAGCAACTCCAGCTGATCCAGGGAGAGGAAAGTGAGAGGGAGAGGTTCAGGAAAGATAAAAAATAAGAGGATTGGGATTTTTTCCCCTGGTTTAGGGAGTACTTTCACACATCTAAGTCATTAATACACGTGTAATACGTTCTGAGACCTCTCTCAAGCGGTGAAATCAAAAACAGCCAACAGAGAACTGATATTCTTCATAGGAATTCCAAGTTCTGGGTTTCCAGAGTGCCTGAGACAAAGCCCCAGGCAGCTGGAATTCCAAACATACAGTATCTCACAGCACTAGTACAGCATTAATTCCATTTCCATGATTTCTTTAAATTTGTATGAATTATTCTGAGAGGGGAGCCTTCCCTACACCTTGTTGTCCTTGTGTCTCATCCTCAGCCTGACAGAGGTGTTCCGTGGGCTGAATTCTTGGCATGCTCGAGGATATCTATTTCATAACAAATATTTAAATTTACCCTAAATATTTTACTCCTAAAGGGAGGGACATATTTCACACCCATTTCCCACAAGCAGCAGGTTTAGGAGTTTTTACCAATCCAGATGTATTTCATACCGAGAGCTTTCCTTGGCCCAGCAGAAGTCTTTTTAATCACCATAATTCATGCAGAAAGAGTTAAAAGAAAATCTTTGTATTAAATTATCATATTACCTGGTCAATCCTTTCCAAGAGCTTGTAAGATTGTAATGCTTTGTCCCATTTGTTTCGATATTCAGGAAGATACATAAAAGGAATAATTTTACTAGGGACTTCCTTAATTATCCCTTCTCCGCGGTATCTACATTGTGTCAAAAAAAAAACAGATATTGAATTATTCAGATTTATGAAGTGGAAAAAATAAATCCTACCAAAATAAGCATCTAGCAGTTGGGGATGCCAGGCTATTGCATGCGTGATTGCACTTGATGGATCGATTAAAATTCAAGTAGTAATAAAAACTCTCATTCTGTAACTGATTGTTGAGACCATTCC